AGGTGGGAGGACAGGTTGGGTTCCCGGCAGACAACTGGGAAACAGTGAGATTCCGACTCTAAAAAAATAATAGTTTCACCAAAAGGGGGGGCGGATTTCTAAATCGGAATCTCTTGTTGAAATCCTTAGAGCACCAGTTAAGCCCCACTTCTTTTTTTTTTTTTTTTTTTTTTTTTTGAGGCGGAGTCTCGCTCTGTCGCCCAGGCTGGAGTGCAGTGGCGCGATCTCGGCTCACTGCAAGCTCCGCCTCCCGGGTTCCCGCCATTCTCCTGCCTCAGCCTCCCGAGTAGCTGGGACTACAGGCGCCGCCACCACGCCCAGCTAATTTTTTGGTATTTTTAGTGGAGACGGGGTTTCACTGTGTTAGCCAGGATGGTCTCGATCTCCTGACCTCGTGATCCGCCCGTCTCGGCCTCCCAAAGTGCTGGGATTACAGGCTTGAGCCACCGCGCCCGGCCAGCCCCACTTCTTTAAATAAATAATAACCGACAGATTTTTTTTTTTAAGTTAGAAATCCTTTTAAAGTAAATTTCATCACAGATCTGCAAGTGAATTGTCATTTTGGACAAGTCCCCAGAGTTAGTGGCTCTCTCCTGTGTACGATAGCTACCACTAGGCAGTAAAAATAATTTACCCAATTCAAACACATACCGTGCCTGCACTGTTAAGACTACTGGCAAAGAGGGTACAAAGCTAAGTAAGGTCTATCACAGCCCTCAAGGAGTTAAGGACTAGAGGAGGAGTCCCTTTATAGTACAATATGTGTGCAGTTACTATTTAGTCAAGGCAAACGAAGTGTGAGAAATCCTAAAACAATAGTACCTACAAGATAACATGCCATCTCCGCCCAGAGAAGGAAAGCAACTGGTGCACTCGTTAAGTTATGTTGTAAACAGTACTGGCTTACATTGTGTCCCTCCCTGACAATCCCTTCCAACCTGTCAACCAACCTCCTTCCCCACAATCACACACACACACAACCACACAACCAGGAAGGGAAGCCATCAAGCGAGTATTGTGAATCCTAAACTGGCTCTATAGTTTTAAAGTACAACGCCTGTGCCTGAAGAAAATTTGTCTTTAGCTTCATCAGGTGAAGAAAATTGGTTTTATAACACAAGGCCCACCAAACCAGAAAAGCCCAGGAACGCTTCTCCACATGACTCACTTAGCATGAGAAATCACTCAGAACAAACTGACATACACAGTTATTTCTCAAATTTTTCTTTTTCATTTAGCAGACGGTAAAGGAACACAACTGAAGTTAACAGTAAATGACACTCTGGCTATTTTGTTCATTTGTCAATATGAATGACAGACATTTAAGCTAGTTCCATCTGGAGAACTGAAACAGAATCATGTTCATATAATAAGCCACACAAATTATTCAGTGGAATACGTGCACCCAAAACTGGACCAGACTTGTACTTAATGCAGCCTGCAAATCCCCAAGAGTCCACGACGGAATACAAGAACAATAACATTGGTTTCTTAACTGATCTTAGCTCCTTCACAAACTTGCCAATGACCTTTCAAGAACTGCACCGTTTGTCCTCATCTGGGCAATCCAATGGTTTAGAAAAACTGAATAAACTGCTTCTTCGAAAAATAAAACAATGCGGGGGTGGGGGGCAAGTAGTAACAACAAAAAAAAAAGGCACACTGATTTTTACTCTCCTGAAGCAATCAACTCTCCAAATACCTTCATTACTGAGTGTCAGCAAAGAATGAACACCAAAATACCGCTCAATCCAACTTCCATCGTGAATTCCTGAGTTCACAGTAGGAGCATTAAATGTGACGGTATCACTGCTATAAGAACTACTTCCAAAACAAACCTATCTACCCCCTTTCTTGATTTTAAAAAAGAGAGAAAGAGGAGAGAAAGAAAGTTTGTTTGAGGGTTTTTGCTTTTTTCAATTTCACATACCGGTTTGCCTTTACAAAAAAAAATAAGATTAGTCTCAAAGTATAGCTGCAAGTTGGACCGACTGCACAGGTCTCCTGGGTCATTCGACTCGGAGCGGCGGGGTTTCAGCCGGGCCGCGTCCCGGAGAAGCAGCGGAGACCCCAGCAGGCGGGCGCCGTCGGACACATTTACCGTCCGCGTCGGCCCCGGGGAGCCGCTCCTCCGCGCCCGCAGCACTTGTTCAGGGCGCGGACTCCACAGGGCGGCCGCCGGCCCCAGGGGAGGAGTGAGCCCGCCCCAGCAGCGCCAACCAGGAGACCCGGGGAAGGGTTCCGGGCCATCCGTGGCGGGCGCGCCCCCCACCCGGAAAGCGGCGACGGCCCCAAGTTGGGCTGCGGAGTGTGAGGCGCGCTGAGCCCCAAGCAGACAATGCGGGAGAAGGGTGATGCGCAGAGAGGAGGGGTCCGCAAAGCTGAGGTCCCCGCGCCGCCCGGCTCCCCGTCCGTCCCGCCTGCCCCGGAAGCCCCGCGCAGCCGCCGACCCTCCTCCGGGGCCCGCCCCACCTAGCGGCCGCAGGGGACGGGCCGCGCTCCGCACCCCCACCCCGCCTCAAATTACAAAACTTGCCCCAACTCCGCCAACTAAGTTGCGCTCTCACAGTGACGCTCCCGGGGCTCCTCCGCCGGCCGAGACAGCTCCTCACCTTCGCCGCGCAGAAAAACAATAGGCGGCCGCTCCCCCCGCAGCGGCGGCGGTGGCTAAACAGGCGGCGACCGAGGCGAGCAACGGGCACGGCAGTCTCCGCCGAACACAAGCGCTTCACCGCTGCTGCTCCGGCTCCGCGCCGGCCCTGCACACAGCCCCGCCTGCGCACCAGCTACAAGCTGCCCGGGGGTGGGCGGGGCACGCAGGAGGGCGGTAACGCCTGCGAGTCCTCCCGTGAGTACACGCGGAGCAAGGGCTGCGAGCTAGGATTGCACGGCAGAGCTGCCCATCCCGCTCCACGAGACCAATAGTAAGGCACCTGGGCGGGGCACTCAGGTTGCTGTGGGAGGCTGAGGTTGACCGCAGCTGCTGCTTCGTGGCAAAGTGATCAAATTAGAATGGCTGGAAGAGGCTGCTCTGGGAAATGCCCACCCACGGTCTCCTCTCCGCGCTGTCTCCAGAAACCGCCCTTTCTCTGTGTGCCGGTGCTTACCTGAGCTGTAGCACTTAACCACATAGAGGAGAAATAATTTACTCCTCTATTCCCGCACTTCAACTCAGGAAGTGAGGTTTAGTCTTCTGTGTGCACAGCCTAGGACAGTCTAAGGTATTAGGTATTAAACAAGTGTTGGATGGATGCACGGCGCTATAGCGGAATCACAATTGTGACAGTGCATTCCGTGAACTTTTGGCTACTCGATCACCACAAAGTCATTCCGTGTTCGAGCTGCAAATGACCTCAGAAATCATCTCGTTGCTTTGAGAAACAAAATGTGGTCCGTGTACCAACGGTGGCCGAGGAGAATATATTAGTTGATACACAAAGATACTTCTTTTTTCAAATAGTTAAGTGTTTTAGTGCGCATTAGGAGGGAAATGCCTATCACGTCAAACCATTGTTTCATTAATGGTATTTCTTAGGTCAAATAAAAAGTGTCAAAAAATAAGTATATTTCAAGAAAAATGTTAAGTAAAAATTGAGACACTTTATATGCAGTTCAAGAACGGGCAAAAAATAGGATTTAGTCATTAACCTTGTGAGAGTAGGAGTTACTTATGTCCTTTTTCTCTCCCCCATCACTTAGCATTTAGCCTTACTTTACAAGGGGCTTGTATTTATTTTAAACTGATAAAGGGCTTTGAGAGCTTATTAAATGGAAAGCATTGTGTATTTATTTAATGATTTATTTAGAGACCGAGTCTTATTCTGTTGCTCAGGCTGAAATACAGTGGCACAATTTGGCTCACTGCAACCTCCTCCTCCCTGGTTCAAGCGATTCCCCTGCCTCAGCCTCCCAAGTGACTGGGATTACAGGTGTCTGCCACCATGCCCAGCTAGTTTTTGTATTTTTAGTAGAGACAGGGTTTCATGATGTTGGCCAGCTGGTCTTGAACTCCTGAGCTCAGGTGATCCACCCGCCTCAGTCTCCCAAAGTACTGGAATTACAGGCAATAACCATCACGCCTGCCTTGGTTTTTATCCCAAAGGCTCAGGTTCATGCAATACAAATCCTTACATGTGAGAAAACCCAGCTGCAGACAGCACTGTACTACACCCAGCATGCTGCCAGGCAGTTTGAAGGTGGGAATCTGGGCACCCCATCATCCTTCAACTTGACACTTTGACAGGCCTTTAGGGGAAGTCCTTTGGGCCCCATCTCAACCTCTCATTCCAGAAGAGGCTGAGGATCTGACCAGCTGCCTGCAGTATTTCCCACAGCGTGTGGGAGAGTTGGAGAGGGAGCAGAAGAAGGCAAATAGGGTGAGTCAACCGTCTAACCATACCCTGGCAGCCCGGCTTTCCAGATGGAGGAGTGAGCCTAAAGGTCCCTTCTGCAGGAAGGCATGTCCCACCCAGAAGGCAGCATGGGCCATTTCTCACTGCTTTTGTGTGTGGTCATTAGAGGCAGCCTAGGGCTGTGTTGGCTGCTGTGGGTGAGTTGGGGAGCCCTGAGGGGAGCAAGTACTGGACATGGAGCTTGGAGGCCAAATGCCTGCCCTGCCCTTACCTGACTGTGGCATTGACCAAGTCCTAGGTGGGGGTTAGGATACTTGTACCAAGAAGATACAGAAGAGTATCTTTAGTATGTTACCATTTGTGTAGAGAGTGGGAACACATGTGTGTGTGTATGTGTGTGTGTTTGTGTGTGTGTGTGTGTACTATGAAACTATACATAAAACATGTCTGCAAGGATTCGTAAAAAACTCAGGAGAGAGGAACAGGGTGGCAGGGAGATATTTCCCTTCTGTATTTTCTGAGTTTTGGACTATGCAAATGTACTCTTCAAAAAGTGAACACAAGATTATTCCCCTTTCTATCTGTGCCCCCACCCCCCAGCTGTTAAAGGTGGAAAGCATCCAGGTTCTTGGCATCTTAAACAAAGAATTGGACAAAACGCACAAAGCAAGGAAAGAATGAAGGGATTTATTGAAAATGAAAGCACACTCCACAGTGTGGGAGCGCGCCCGAGCACAGGGGCTTAAGGACCCCATTACAAAATTTTGGAGGGTTTAATGACCCCCCTAGAGGATTCCATTGGTTACTTCAGGTACGCCCTATGTAACTGGAGAGGATGAAGTAAAGTTACAAAGTCATTTACGCATATGCCCTATGGAGAGGATATTTCCTGTTATAGCTGAAGTGTGAACTGGCCTTATGTTCCCTGCCTCCAGACCCTATTTTCCTGCCTCACAGTGAAAACAGGGGCATGGACAATCAGATATACCTGGATGTTTAGATCCCAGCTCTGTCTGAGTGACCTTGGGCAAGCACTTAACCTCTAATACCCCATGTTTTTCATCTACACAATAGAGGTGATAAAAGTAACTGTCTCCTATGGTGGTTGTGAGGATTAAATGGGGTTGTTAGCATGATGCCTGGTGAAGCACTCAATAAAGGTTCAAACAGGGGTAGTCATAATGGTAAGAACGATAGCAATATTCTCTGATCTCTCTGGGCCTCTGCTAGCCAGCTATAAATTCGATCTCTCTCTGTGTCCCTTCCACCCTTACTGAGTTCTTTGAGAAACAAATGAGACCACGGGCTTGGAAATGCCTTGAAAATATGTCAGGCATGATTGAGAGTGATGAAGTGTTGCTTTGGAATAGTCACTGTAGCTGTCTTCCTGGTCGGCCAGCTGCTCCTCTGCCTGCTGTATCCTGACTTCACCTTTCTGTATTTGCAGGACAACAACCAGTTAAGCAGAGACAGAGATGCCCTCAGGCTGCAGTTAGACAAGAACACCTAGGATGGGGGAAGGTGGAATGGGAGGTCTGGGGCCCTTAGCATGGGTAGCGTGGGCGAGGTGGGAGGGGTGCAGGTGAGTATGGTGAGGTGGTTGTACAGGTTTGTATGCGTGCACCGCTAGCTCTAGTGCCATCTGTGCCCCAACTCATGCTATAGACTTGGGCAACTCATGTCTTCTCTCTGGCCTGTCACCTGTGACATTTGATTCCTGGGGACCCTTACAGTACCACAGTTCTGTGGTTGTGGGGCAAGGGTAGAGGGTTGATCACCAAAGCAATCCTTTCTATTTTTCGTTAATTCCTTTCTCTGCTGCCATTGGCCATAGCAACAGCAATAAGGAGCTGAAGCAGGAGAACTCAGCTTAGGCAGAGCAGCTTATAGTCATACTGATCCACAAGGCAGCGATGCAGCATGACTTCGAGGAGCTGAAAAACAAACTGGAGATCGCCGACCTCACACTTCAGCAGGTAGATGGAAGGAAGATGATCCTAGGTGGCCAGGAGTAGGTGAGGACCAGTGACAGCCCTTCCTAACTTCTGTGTCCTTTCTCACAGGTGATGGAGTGGGTGCAGTATCTGCAAATGGAGACAGACCAGTATGCCGAGTATCTCCATGGAGAGCACGCCATATGGTGGCAGAGGATGCAGATGTCAGAGCAGGTGAGGACCACTGACAGCCCTTTCTAACTGCTGTGCTCATTCTTGCAGGTGATGGAGTCACTTAAACAACTCCAGCTAGAGAGAGATGAATATGCTCAACATATAAAAGGAGAGAGGGCCCGGTGGCAGGAAAGGATGTGGAAAATGTCAGAGGAGGTGAGACCTGACCCTTCAGCCCCCCACCTTAAATAGGTCACTGGATCTTTCTGGGCATCTGTAAAATGGGAATAGTACAACCAGAGGTAGTCATGGGTCTGGGCTTTGTGGAGGTAGGAGCACAGAGGAAGATAGTAGCCTGTCCAGCCACCAGTCCATCTCTCCAGGGCCCTTTCCCCTGTGCTTCGGGCAGGTTCGCACATTGAAGGAGGAGAAGTAGCGTGAGTGCATCAAGTACAGAAGCTGGAGACAAGCTTGGCTGAACTGAAGAACCAGATGGGTGAGCTGGGGTTGGCGTGACCTGGAAGCAGGACCGGCATCAGAGGGCTGTAGGGGTGGCTTAGAATGCCCCAGGGAGGTGGGTGCATGGAAGGGCTTTGAGGCAGAGGGAAAGAGGTCAGTGCCAGGAGACAGCAAGTCTTGTAATCTCCATGAGCCTCCGTGTCCCCATCAGCAAAGAAGGAGGAGTGCCAGTTGTCAGCCACCCACAGCGCTCTCTGTCTGAAAGTGGCTTGGAAGATTGACTACCATCCGGGTGCGAGGAATCATTAGCAGGGAGGCCAAGTGTGGGAAGCCTGAGAGGAGTTGTGGACCAAGAGGAGGGTGTTTTGTTTTGTTTTGTTCTTTTTTGAGAATCCAGAGGCACTTATTGTCTGTTTCCTTTTTCAGCCGAATCCTCGTGCCTGGAGTCCCCAGCAGGGCCCTGAGAGCTGGAGCAGCAGCTACAAGCCGAGGCTGAGCACCTACAGAAGGAGCTGGAGAGTCCGGCAGGACAACTCCAAGCTCAGGTGGAAGACAATCAGGGCTTGCGTCAGCTGAATTGGGAGCAGGAGAGGCTGCAGGAGCAGGAGAAGCTGCTGGAATGGAAGGCCAAGCTCTGGGAGGAGCAGGCGGAGGTGCACAGGCAAACCTTCCCGAATGACCGCACCACCATCAGGCGCAGGCAATCCTTCCCGAATGACCGCACCACTATCAGCTGCACGCTCTCCCAGAACCACAAGCTGAAGGAGCAGCTGACTGAGAATGAAGGAGATGGTAACCCCTTCCCCATCAAAGAAGGGCTGGGAAGCAGGCACCAGCCTCTGGGGAACGGAGGTGCGAGGCCAGAGACAGCTCCAGCCTAGGGGACAGGTGACCGCAGCACCCTCCAGGGCAGTGCTGTAACTGTTTCTTGCTTCCTGCCCTCTGAATTTTAGAGGTGGGTAGCCCGGGGCTCCTCCCAGGTCTGAACATCATTATCCCAGCTAGAGGCATGGAGTTCCCCAATCACAGGGAAAGAGACAATGGTATAAGAGGCTCCTTAGATTGAAACTGAATTCCAGCCTCAGCTCCACTGCTCACCATTGAACTACCTTGCATCTCCAAGTCTCGGTTTCTTTAACTTCAAAACGAAGTTAGCATTTTCCTTGCAGAGGTGCTGAGGATTAAATGAGATAATACGTGGAAACATTAGGCATGTAGTGCACTTAGCAGATGGTGTTTGGCTCCCTCTGCTTTTCCACCAGTCTGTGGCCTACAGTTTAAATGGTAGGAAAAAGGGTGTGAGATTTGAGGCTGGGGAAGGAGGCAAGACAATGGATGCAGTCACTTAGGCCTGGAGCAAGGGGCCAGGAGCCTGGGCAGGCAACAGCCCCACAGTGCCCTCGCTACCCTACTTATGGGCCCAGAATCTAGAAGCCAGCCACCAGCTTCAGGTGGAGTTGAAGAGCCAAGAGGCTCAGACTCTGCAGAGGCTCAGACCAGTACCTGGGTCACCTGCAGCAGTATGTGGCCGCCTATCAGCAGCTGACCTCTGAGAAGAAGATGCTGCACAGACGGTTACTGCTGCAGACCCAGCTCATGGATCGGCTGCAGCAACAGGAAGCTCAGGGCAAAACAGTGGCCAAGATGGTCTGCCAAGAGTTTCAGGAGACCCAGATGAGGTAGTTACTGAGGGCTGGGCCCTGAGGGGGACAACCTGGCAATCTCCGTGCCTTCTCACCCTCTTTCCTGGCCCCTTAGGAGCACCTGGAAGCTGCCAGCCAGCAGAACCAGCAGCTACAGGCCCAGTTGAGCCTCATGGCTCTCCCTGGGGAAGATACAGGAGACCACTCAGAGGAAGAGGAGAGAGCCCCAGGAGGAATCGGGGACTGCTGGCAGTGTAGGAGTGAGGAGTTGGAAGAGACCTTTAGAACAGCTGGTCATTATGCTTACCAGGTGTCTGCACTAAGTTCGACATTGATATGGTGACCTCCCAGGAGCAGGGGGGCCACCAGGTTGCCTGAGGATGGGTAGACTGGTCCAGATCAGAAAGGGAGCAGGTCAGAACTCCCGCACTGATGGCTAGTGGGACTGTGCCTGGGCAACACACTGAGACCTTGGCTCTTAAAAAAAAAAAAAAAAAGAATGAAAATAAAGAACAGCTGCTCATTCCCCTCTGGGAAGGGGCTGGCCCACAGTTACACAGTGAGGGTGGGGACAAGGGTGGGCCACAGTACCTCCCTTTTTGGGTTGTCTGAGGACCCCTCTGAACACCCCCACCCCCTACAGGAGATGGACTGGGCAGGGAGGAGGAGGAGAGGGATGAAGAGGAGGAGGGGGGAAGGAAAAGGGGAGGAGGAAGGGGGGAGAAGGAGGGGAGGAAGAGGAGGGGGAAGGAAGAGGAGGAGCAGCCGCCCCGGCCCATGCTGAGCATTCTGGAGGACCTGGAGAGCTGGGCAGCCATGATGAGCCTGACTCCAGCTGCCCCACCTTTGCCGCCTTCCACTGTGGTCCCTCCCAGACCCCCTTATGCTCTTAGTTTCCTGCCTTCTGGTTTCTCTGGAACCTCATGCCTTCCCTGGGAGCCAGTAGTCAGACATCATGTTACCTGTGACCCACAGGTGCGCCCTCTGAGGCCCCAAAGGAAGGGCTCCTCTCCTGCTCCCTGCCCCGTTTGTCCTGTGTATCCACCTACAAGAATGTGCACATCTTGCCTGCGGGTGGCCTTTCTAAACTCGGCTTTAGCCAGTGCCCAGGAAGAGCAGCAGACACAGTCACATGGGCAGCTGAAGGAGTAAAGGGTACACTGCCAGTGTGTGGCTCACCCGGTGACCTCGGCTCAGAAGGAACCCCAACTCCAAGAACTGGGGGGCGATTCTGCGTGTGGGGAGAACACCGGGCTTTCACCATGTTGGCCAGACTGGTCTTGAACTCCTGACCTCAAGTGATTCACTCTCCTCAGCCTCCCAAAGTGCTGGGGTTACAGGCCTGAGCCACCACGCACATTCCAATGAAGACCTTTTTAAAATTTGCAGTTCAGATTGTGGAAAATTTGAGCTACAAATTAACAAGAGTTGATGCTTCACATGAATGTTGTCAGATTCATCTTTTAATAAACAATGTTTACATTTTTATTTAATGTCATTCATCTTCCTATAAGGTATGGTCAGTGGATTTGCAGGTGGAGAAGATGAAATTTATAATGTTTATGACCAAGCCTGGAGAGGTGGTAAAGATATGGCCCAGAGTATTTATAGGTCCAGTAAAAATCTAGACAAGGACATGTTTGGTGATGACCGATGACCTAGAAGCCAGAATAAAGACCAACAGGTATCAAGCCGTACAACTCCGTTTCAGTGTTTACACCAGTGAAAACAAAGTAGTTCATAGTCTTTTCTCTTGTTTCCTAGATTTGTTCTCGACAAGTTTTCTGGTTCAGACCACAGGCAGAGAGGCCGAGAGGATGAGAAGGACCAGTTCAGTTTGAGGAAGATCCTTTTGGTTTGGACAAGTTTTTGGAAGAAGCCAGACAGCTTGGTGGCTCTCAAAGACCCTCAGCAGCAGCCCCAAAGAACATGAGCATGAAGGCAAGAAGAGGAGGAAGGAGTAGACACACATCTCTTCAAAGCAAATGAACTGTGATTATCCATAACCCTGATGACGCAAGTGCTATGGGATAACACTTTGTGAGTGGTCGGGATACAAACCAGATCTGGATGCTACTTTCTATTATTGGAGAAGGTGGGAGTGGGGAGAGGGTGGGGATAGAAAATTCTACTTTGAATTATTTGGTTTTTTTAAAGAGTGGCTTTTATTTGTGCTCCTCCCACCTTTCAGCATTCATAGAACATGCTGGCCCACATCCACAATCAAGACCACTGCCTTTTGTGTGACACGTAGTTCGCGTTAATATTTTGTGTAAGAACAGCTGCTTATGAGTCAAGTCGCCCCAACCGCAGTGAGGTGGAGAATGTTCACATGTTGGAACTGTCCTGCCAAATAAATGTGGCCCCTGTTGCGCTGTGTTTTAATTTGGAGTGGGGAAAAGAAGCTCTTGCTTTGTTTCAAATAAAAACCTTTAGACAAAATTCTCAGTTATGTTTCCTTTATGTAATAGGCTGGCACAGTCTCAGAAATCTTCCTCTTCATCAGATGTTTGCAAAACTTTAGGCCTTTGAGCTTGAACCTGGAGGTGAAAAAAATAAGCACTGTAAGGAAGGAAAGGCAATGTCTGCAAAAATATTCGATCTGAAAATCACCTTTTTATGAGGGAGTCAGTAAAAAGAACTCAGGCAGTTTTTATGTTCACCTTGTTATTTTATTTGTTTTCTCCTCAAATTCCCTTTACCATCTTTGTTGTTCTTATGACTCCCTCACCCTCCATTAAAAATTGCAAATTGGGTGAGTCACAGTGGCTGAGTCCTATAACCCCAGCACTTCGGGAGGATGAGGCAAGAGGACAGCTTGAGGCCAGGGGTTCAAGACTAACCTGCAGCATAGAAAGGCCCAGTCATGATGAAAACAAATAAACGAAAAAATAAAGTAGTAAATCAATCTGACCCAAGATCACATAATCAGTGGGAAAGACGAGATTTCAGCCCCAGCTCACCTGACTGGAAAAGTACACTGCTAGGTCCCCTGTGTTCTATATATCTTGCTAACCGTTACGGGTCTTCTTTTTATTTTATTTATTTATTTATTTATTTTTTGAGACAGAGCCTCACTCTGTCGCCCAGGCTCGAGTGCAGTGGCGCAATCTTGGCTCACTGCAAGCTCCGCCTCCCAGGTTCACACCATTCTCCTGCCTCAGCCTCCCGAGTAGCTGGAACTATAGGCGCCCGCCACCACGCCCAGCTAATTTTTTTTATTCTTTAGTAGAGACGGGGTTTCAATGTGTCAGCCAGGATGGTCTCGATCTCCTGACCTCATGATCCGCCTGCCTTAGCCTCCCAAAGTGCTGGGATTACAGGCGTGAGCCACCGCGCCCGGCCTAAGGGTCTTCTTGTACTTCTCCTTTAAAAGTGGGAACTCTTCCACCCCACCATTCTAACAAGCATGAAGGCAGCTTCAGTTACAAATCTCTCAAAGTCCCATCATTCCACATTTATGATCTATTTAATTGATACATAATCAGAAAGTAGCTACATATATATCATAGATGTATCTGGTATACAGATTGACCTTTATTCCATCTAGAGTATGATTTTCCTGTTGTAGTGCATTCTGAAATTCTTCTGAAGAAAACTGAACCAACCCAAACCTCTGTGAAAGCCAGTCTCCTCGTCCTAGAAATTCAAAATATGGGAAAATACTAATCATGAACTTGAGAAAGTTTCCATGAGCTCCAAATCAAATTGCCAACTTTTTCATCTGCCACAATCGGGTTGATTATCTACTGTTTGAGACAGGGTCTCACTCTGTGGCCTAGGCTGGACTGCAGTGGTGTGAACATGACTCACTGCAGCCTCACCTTCCTGGGTTTAAGGGATCCTCCCACCTCAGTCCCTTCAGTAGCTGGGATCATAGGTGCGCACTACCATGCCTAGCTAAGGTTTTACATTTTTTGCGGAGATGGGGTCTTGCCATGTTGCCCAGGCTGGTTTCAAACTGCTGGGCTTGAGCAATCCTCCCACCTGGGCCTCCCAAAGTGCTGGAATTATAGGTGTGAGCCACCGTGCCCAGCCTCAAATCGGATTCCAGACATTTAGAAATGTCAGTAACCTTGCTTCATACCCTTCCTCATTACCCAAGGCTAAATCCCTACTCTGTTTTCCTCGCTGCTATTAGACAAGATGTGGGTAATGAGCTTTCTGTGTCATTCTAGATGCAAACCATATTAACAGTAATAGCCAAGGGAGATTTTGATCAGAACTCTTGTTTCTAACCTCATTTCTAGAAACTAGAAAATTAGGCCTCAAAACCTAGGTGCACTATGATCATTTCTGAGCCCAGTCACCCTCATCACCAGCACTACCATCGTCACGTGTTTCTAATGACGAACAGACAACATTTAGCCCTTGCTTAACCTAATTACAGACTTCTGGTTAATTTAAACAATTATGTTACTTTCCCTTTGTGCAAACGGAAGACTTCTTTACTTTTCTGAGATGGTCTCACTCTGTCGCCAGGCTGGAGTGCAGTGGTGCAATCTCGGCTCACTGCAAACTCCAACTCCGATTCAAGCTATTCTCCTGCCTCAGCCTCCTGAGTACCTGAGATTACAGGCATGCGCCACCATGGCCAGTTAATTTTTGTATTTTTAGTAGAGATGCGGGTTTCACAATGTTGGCCAGGCTGGTCTCGAACTCTTGGCCTCAAGTGATCTGCCTGCCTCGAGCTCCCAGACTGCTAGGATTACACGTGTGAGCCACCGCACCCAGGCTACATTACCACAGCCCTTACAGTGCTGCAAGGAAAAAAAGGGTTTCAGTGAGGTGCGTGTAAACTCTGTGTACTCACATCACACCCTAGAAAGCCCACAGAAAAATACAGGCCAGGATAAATGTATAGACTGACTTCTAAACCCTCACAAGAAAGCTAAGGAAATGTAATTAATATAAAATAGTATTTTATTAGTTATAAATCTAAAAAGGTACTCAATGAAGATAAAACTGAAAATATTCTCTGCCGATTATTAGACATCTATTAGAGATTATTAGCATACTATAGTAGGCAGAATTCTAAAATGGGTCCCGTGATCTCCACACATCCCCCATGTTACACCCTATACAATCCCCTCATTTTGGGTGTAGGCAAGACCTGACTTGTTTCTTGTTGTTGTTGTTGTTGTTGTTGTTATTGTTGTTGAGATGGAATCTCACTTTGTCACCCAGACTGGAGTGCAGTGGCGTGATCGCAGTTCGCTGCAGCCTCCACCTCCCAGCTTCAAGTGATTATCCTGCCTCAGCCTCCCTAGTAGCTGGGATTACAAGTGGTGGGATTAGCCATCACTCCTGGCTAATTTTTTGTATTTTTAATAGAGATGGGGTTTCACCATTTTGGGCGGGCTAGTCTCGAACTCCAGACCTCAACTGATCCACCCACCTCGGCCTCCCAAAGTGCTGGGATGGGAGACCTGACTTGTTTCTAACCAAAAGAATATAGCAAAAGTGATGGGATGTCACTCTTGTGATTATGTTCTATATAAGATACCATCTTAGCAGACTGTAGAAGCCCTTACTGGCTTTAAAGAAGCAAGCTGCCATGTCATAAGACAGTCTACAGATGAGCCAGGTAACAAGGAACTGCAGGCAGTCCCTAGGTGAGAGCAGCTCCCAACTCAGAGCCAAAGGTAATCAAGGAAACACATCTCAGTCCTACAGTTAAAGATGAATTCTGCCAGCCACATTGAGGGAGCTTAGAAGTTAGTCTTTTTCCCCAGTTTGCCCTTTGACACACTGTAGCCCCAGCTGACACCTGGATTATAGTGATGAGAAACCCTGAGAAGACCCAGCTAAACTGTGCCCAGCTGTGAGATACGTGTTATTTTCTTCAGCCATTATGCTTGTGGTATTTTGTTATACAAAAATAAAAAAGCTAACACAAATACCTAAGATAAAACTTTTTTATTTCTTAATCAGTATCACTCAAAATGTTATCAATAAAGACCTTAGACCAGACACAGTAGCTCACGCCTTTAATCCCAGCACTTTGGGAGGCCAAAGCGGGAAGACTGCTTGAAGACCAGCTTGGGCAACATGGCACGACCCCCATCTCTATAAAAATATGTCGGGCGCAGGCCGGGCACGGTGGCTCATGCCAGTAATCCCAGCACTTTGGGAGGCTGAGGCGGGCGGATCACCTGAGGCCAAGAGTTCAAGACCAGCCTGGCCAACATAATGAAACCCCATCTCTACTAAAAGTACAAAACTTAGCTGTACATGGTGGCGCATGCCTGTAGTCCCAGTTACTCAGGAGGTTGAGGCAGGAGAATTGCTTAAACCCAGGAGGCAGAGGTTGCAGTGAGCCGATATTGCGCCATTGCACTCCAGCCTGGGCAATAAGAGCGAGACTCCATCTCAAAAAAAAAAAAAAAAAAAAAAAATAGGCCAGGCGCAGTGGCTCACAGCTGTAATGCCAGCAGGCTGGGAGGCCAAGGTGGGTGGATTATTTGAGTCCAAGAGTTTGAGACCAGCCTGGACAACATGGCGAGACCCCATCTCTATAAAAATAGGCCAGGCACGGTGGCTCACACCTGTAATCCCAGCACTTTGGGAGGCCAAAGTTGGTGGATCACTTGAGCCCAGGAGTTCAAGACCAGCATGGGCAAATGGTGAAACCCTGTTTCTACAAAAAAATACAAAAATTAGCTGGGTGGCACACCTGTAGTCCCAGCTACTTGGGAGGCTTAGGTGGGAGGATCACTTGAGCCTGGGAGGCAGAGGCTGCAGTGAGCCAAGATTGGGCCACAGCACTCTAGCCTGAGGGACAGAGCTAGACCCCGTCTCTAAATAAATATATTTTTTTTTTTAATGTAGGTTGAGCGCAGTGGCTCACGCCTGTAATCCCAGCACTTCAGGAGGCTGAGGCAGGCAGATTACGAGGTCAAGAGATGGAGACCATCCTGGCTAACACGGTGAAACCCCGTCTCTACTAAAATTACTAAAATTAGCTGGGCGTGATGGTGCACGCCTGTAATCCCAGTTACTTGGGAGGCTGTGGCAGAAGAATCGCTTGAACTCAGGAGCAGAGGTTGCAGCGAGCTGAGGTCACGCCACTGCACTCCAGCCTGGGCTACAGAGCGAGACTCAGTCTCAAAAAAAAAAAAAAAAAAGCAAAACATAAAAACAAACAAAAAAAATCTTTACTTTTTTTCTCTTTTTAAAAAATTTTGTGGGAACGTAGTAAGTGTATATTTTTATGGGGTACATAAGATGTTTTGGTACAGGGATGCAATGTGAAATAAGCAAATCATGGAGAATGGGGTATCCATCCCCTTAAGCATTTATCCTTTGAACTACAAACAATTCATTTTCATTCTTTGAGTTATTTTTAAATGTACAATGTACTCCATGGAGCACTTAGTACGTGCAAGTCACCCTATTTACCATGTTATATGCACTTTTATTTTAACTTTCATGAGTTAATT